AGGCTCCATTGTAACTGTGAGTAACTGTGCAGCAAACGGCTAAGGAACTCAATGTCGAGCCCCCGGCGTCCAATGATCGTGATGACTGGCTCGTGTCATTTGGCCATTCTCTGACATGAAGAGGGCGGAGCATCTGATCAAGGGAGACCCGGAAATGTGGATGCAACGCACGAACGGAGCACAAAAAGGCCTGCATCGCCAAACCCGCAGATTGGTGTCCCACAGCGGTGCCAACAAGTCATGCCCGCAACCTGCCACAGCCTGGGCGAGCCAAATGTAACTTCAGCGAAGGGTCCCAAACCAGCCGCATATGTTGAGGGGCTGGCACACACCGTCGGAGGAGACACGTCGAAACGAGGAGCATCCGCCGGCGCCGAGGCCGCCGGCACCAGCCGATTTTTTGGAGCCATGCTTCTTATGTCCTACCCAGCATGAGATTCCTGAGGTTGCCTAGTTTGCAGCCCCGGACGAAGCGACCTGGGCGCCCAGCATTTTGTACCATTGGAGTGTTGTCTGCCTACTCGTGGAAGTGTTTCTTGGGCCGGTGGCCGTTTCTCTGCCGGAAGATGTGTTGGTTTTTTATGCTCTCTGGCGGCTCAGGGCAAAATGCCTCTGCTCAGTTGCATTCACGAGCAATGACGAGCAAAAAATGACACATCTGCACTGCCTCCATCTTTCTCGCTCTGACTTTCTGTGTTTTCCAAATCACAGCACTGACTGACTGTCGCCCCCGCGGATAGAATAGAACATGGATCCTTCGAGAATGTTCGAAATCTACGAAACCGCTAATGTGCCAGGTCTGCTACTGTGACCAATGTCGCTGCAGAAAGTGCAGCTTAATCCCGGAACCCCTCGCTGGGGGTATTACGATTTTTTCTTCGAATGTCGAAGCAACCCGCCTGCACCTCTCGCAAGTGCCGTCCAAACACAACAATTGTCTGCGAGAATCGCCAACCGGACCTCTCGAATTTTTCTATCTTAGCTTTGCCGGGCCGTCTCAGTCCTAGATCCTGTTTCTAGCTTGATTATAGACCCCCGCATACAGTCACATCATGGACTTTTGCACACCACCCCAGAAAATGCATAATGGTACCTTCCACGTCCGATTGGGCATTTCTCTGCGGTTTTGCTGCCGACAGGCGATATTGCATAATCCAATTGCCTACTGGACCTTAGGTACCCCCATTAGGCATTTAGGTAAGGGTGGGGGATCCTGAACCGCGCTCCGCTACCAATGCCACTGACAAAATCACTGACACTGGTAAAAGGGATCACTCGGCGGTCGCGCTTTCCTGTTCCGGCAGCTCTGCGAGCTTCTCGAAGAGTCGTGCTTCCGGCACGCCAGGAGACGCCTATGGCGATCACGGCCAGACTAAGTCCAGCTACACTTCACGTAGCAAAAAGCTTAGCCAAAGAAGCTCCTGACATGTCAGAACGTCGAAGTCAAGTCATGACAGTCCTGCAAGACAGCAGTGTAGGAGTGTTTTAACCGTAAAAGGCTTTGCCTTCCACACTAGCAGCTAGTAGTAGTAGTAGTAGTAGTAGTAGTAGTAGTAGTAGTAGTAGTAGTAGTAGTAGTAGTAGTAGTAGTAGTAGTACGTAGTAGTAGTAGTAGTAGTAGTAGTAGTAGTAGTAGTAGTAGTAGTAGTAGTAGTAGTACGTAGTAGTAGTAGTAGTAGTAGTAGTAGTGGCAGGAGTAGTAGCAATAGTACTGCTAGCAGTAGTAGTAACAGTACGAAAGCAAAGCGTCAAAAGCAGAGCAGCGGAGAAGCAGAAAAGCAGAAATGCCGAAAAGCAACAATCAACAAGAAACAGAAGAGCAGAAAGCAAAAACTTAAAAAGAGAGCGAAGCAGACGATCCGAGCAGCGGAAGAGCAGAGAAGAAGAAAAGCAGAAAAGCAGGCCCCCATTTGCAAACCTCCCAAATGATTCATGATCAATTGTGTTTCCTTCGCTTTAAACCCGCCGAAAGCCTTTTCGTGTGGCTTTCTCCTTATTGTGTGTTGGCGAACACGTCTTTATTCATTTCTTTGCGGCTTATAAGAGAGCGCGGAGTTTGGTTTAAAAAGAGCGGGCAGCCCACCATTTGCAAACTTTCCAAAGCATTCATAATCAATTCTATTTTGTTCGCTGAAACCAAACACCCCGGAAGCATTTTCCCCCCCATTTGCAAAACCTCCAAAGCATGCATGATAAATTCAATTATCTTCGCTGTAATTGCAAACCCCCCGGAAGCGTTTTCGTGTGGCTTTCTCCATCTGCACATTTTTATTCATGTCTTTGCGCCTTGAGAGAGCGAGAAGTTTCGTCTAAAACGAGGGGGAAGACAGATAGATAGATAGATAGATAGATAGATACGCTCGATATCGATATATATATATACATATATAGAGAGAGAGTGTGTGTATATATATATATATATGTGCACAAACACCTTACATTTTCATGCAAAGGATTTCTGACGCACATAATTGTGCAGTGTATTCTATAGCTATATGTTTGTTGCAATTACCTATGTATCTGTTTATATAATATATACACGTATATATACACTGTCTGTATTTGGATAAACACTAAGCTGCTATACTACAAACTTCTAAAATACTCTAACTAGTATGTTTAAGTGTCTGTATGCGTACATGTGTACTCCTTCTCTCTTTCTTTCTTCCTTCCTGCCTTCGTTCCTTCCTTTCTTCCTTCCCTTCTTCCTTTCTTTGCTCTTCCTGCCTTACTTCTCTTCCTTTCCGCCCGAGGGCGAAAAAAAAGGGCCCAAAGAAAAAGGGTTTCAGGCAGAGAAGTGGAAAAGCAGAAGCATAAGCAAAGACAAGCAGACAACGGGAATCACACAAGCACAGGCAAAACGCGGACAAGACCCCCCAAACAAATACCCACAGATGCAAAAAACAAATTCCCACCAAACATACCCTGTCTGACCGTTGCACCTAGCAGGTGGGAAAGGCCAGACTTGATCAATTTGGGTGCCCTGCCCAGTAGATCCATGACACTCGTTGCCGTGCTGCTTTCAGCCAAAAGCACTGTAATTGCTGTTTGTTGTTGTTGCTGCCGTTGTCTGCTTATGCGGCTCTGCTGTTGCTGTTCGCTGCTGCACCCGAACCCGGGGCCAAGGTGTACCGAAAAACAATTGGTAGTTTCTGGTGCTTCGCTGCTGCTGGGCTGCTACCAACGCAAGGTCATGAAAATCAGAAATCGCTGCTGCTGCTTGCGGCTGCTATTGCACGCTTGTGCACGCAAATCAGTGTCACGCTCGGCTAGGGCGTGCCAGCAAAACTTCTATTATTGCTGCTTGTTGTTGCTGCTGCTGTTGCTGATGCTTGCTTGTGCACCCAAACAAGCGCCTGGGCCGAAGCATACCAACAACAACACTGGCAGTTGTTGGATGTTGCTGCTGTTTGCTGCTGCTGCTGCTACTGCTGGCGGTTGTTCAGTGCCGCTACCAGGGCTTGTGGTTGCCGCGCTGCCTGCTTGTTCTGTTTTCAGCCTTTGCACCCATACCAAGCAAGGCAAGGGACAGAGTGTACCGGAATCTGTAGCAGCTGCACCCAAAGCCAGGGCCACGGCCAAAACGCAGCGGAAAAACGATGACATACATCGCCAGTTGCTACTGTTGCTGCTGCTGACTGTTGTGTTGCTAGCAGGGCCAGGGCCAGCGAGACCCGAAACAAGTCGGTAGTTCCTCCGCAGTTGCTGCTTGCCGCTGTTGCTGCTGCTGCTGCTGCTTGCTTCTGCACACAGAACCAGGGCCAGGGCGTACCCACAAACAACTCTGTAACTGCTGCTTGTTTTTGCTGCTGCTGCTGCCGCTGCTGCTGGTGCTGCCGTCTGATTATGCACCTAAAACCAAACAAAGCGACAAACGTGCCACAAAAGATCGTAGCCTGCTTGTTGCTGCCGCCGCTGGTGCTGCTGGTGGTGGTGCTGCTGTTGCTGTGCACCCAACTTCAGGGCCGAAGCGTACGAGACCAAAAACCTCGGTAGTTGTTGCTGATTGCGTCTGCTGCTGCTGCTGCTGCAGTTGCTGTTGCTTGTTTGTGCGCTAAATTCAGGGATAGGGCCGAAGCGTGCCAAAAACGGTAGTTGTTGCTTGTTGTTGCTGCTTGCTGCTCCCTAATTCCAAGCAAGGCGAGGGCAAATGCGCACCAGAAAAAGCAGCATTTGCTGCTTGTTGCTGGCTGCTGCTGCTGCCGCTAAGGCCAGGGCATACCCGAAATAACAAGCAGTTGCTGCTGCTGCTGCTGCTGCTGCTGCTGCTGCTGCTTGCTGCTGTACCCAAAGCCAGGGCCAAGGCTTACCTGACAAAAATAACTTGCAGTTTCTGCTTGTGGGCTGCGCGCTGCGGCCATTGCCAGGGTGGACCAGGACAACATTGCTGTTTGTTCCTGCTGTTGCATGCGTGTGCACCCAAAACCAAGGCCAGGGCATACACAAAAACATCCGTAGATGCTGCTTGTCGTTGCTGCTGGCTGCTGCTGCTGCTGCATCCAGAACCACGGAACGGGACAGAGTGTACCGGAATAAAAGCTGCTTGCTGATACTGCTGCTGTTGCCAGGTTCTGCACGAGCCAAGACGTTCCAGACAAACATGGTGTTGCTGCTGCTGGTGTGCTAGTGCTGGTTGTGCTCCGTACTTCCGCACTCGACTCTGGCTTCGGCAAACCGAACAAAAGCGTTAGCTACTGCGTGTTGCGGGGCTCTGTGCTGCTGCTGCCGGATCGGGCCAGGCAACGCACCAGACAAACTCGGCGGTTATCGCTGCTGCTACTGCTGCTGCTGCCTCTGTGTGGTTTCTGCGTGTTGCTGCTGCTGGATGCTGTGCTGCTCCTACAGTAGCACTTCGGTCAGGGCCAAGGCGTACCAGAAAAAAATCGGTTGCTGGTGCAGACACAACCACACTCGAGCGGGTGAAGGCTACTTCTAAGCTCTCAAACTTGCGACATTATCCAGGTTTTGCCGTCATCCTCCGACGTACTTGCTGTGCAGCTTCACAGCAGGAAGCATACCCAAGAAACCCAGAACAGAGCCTCTGTAATGCGAACTTCTTCTGCAAATGTGCCCTGCGGCCGCTCGAAGCGGAATCCGAGCTTGCTTCCATTCTCCTCTCGAGCAAAGCATCAAGGCCAAACGCACACCCGCTCAGACGGTTATTCAGCCGAGCCTTGCTCAGTCCGATGATGAACCGATCTGGAAACCTGCTCGAGAAGGAGAGTGACCAGCCCTCAGCATCACTCGAATAGCTTCTATGATCTGAGCATGCCAACGAAAAAGGATGATTCCCCGAGCCAGGCTAGTATAGCAGTGTAGTGCTGTGCGCGAAGCATCCTGAAGCTTAAAACGCCTGCACTTCTAGGTGCCGTGGCTGCTATGGCCATGTGCCTTCAGTTCTGTTGCAGGCACCCAGTGGCCAAACATCATGATGCGTGATGTGACTATAGCACAACGCTTGTCCGCAATCGAGTCCGCCTCACCATTTGGAGGAAGATGCGTGGCGCGTGAATCTCCTTGGCCATGGCCTCCACGCTTGCATGTACCAAGGTAGCCAAATGTGTGAATGTACTTCTCATACAGAAACAGCAGTCATCCGCAGCTCTGCACTCGAAACCAGAACGGAACGCTTTCTTTGGCCCATGTGCCGGCCTTGCCTGGGAACGGTTTTTGCGACCCTTCATACCGAAAATCCCACGGCTCAGCTCCTCTCTTCGTTCTAACACTTTACCCTGTCTGCATCCCCACGAACACGGTTAAGGACCACATGCAACTACAAGTCGCATCGCAGTTCTCCGGGCATGCAAGCGATGTCTTCAGGGAGGCTATGTCGAAAACCAATCTGTTCGCTAGAAGAACTGAGGGCCCCAGACTAATTTCGATACAAAGTACACAGCCATGCACTTGTTGATCACGCCGTCTTGCTTCCAGAAGGTGGTGCCGCTTCAATACAGTGGTTCAAAGTTAGTTGAATCCTCAGGCTTCAACCCTGTTTCGTTTGACGTTGAAGGCTGCGGAAGCAGCCCTCTTAACCTGCTAATGCCAAGACCGTTTGGGGTTCATTGAAACAATCTCCGAAATTGGAAACGGATTTCCCCAGGCGATGTTACTGCTACTTAACGATGACATCGTTTACTTGTTATTATCGAATTAGGCAGGAACACTGCAAAGCTTGTTTGGGGTATTCCTGGAACCTCTCCACATCTGACGACCTCAGCCTGTTTGGGAGCATGCCACTTACCGCAATTCAGCTGGCGGTTCGTGTCGCCATATAGCGTAAGTAGCCAAAGCAGGAACCGATGTTGATGCAATGCTTCGAACTTCGAACCACTGCCGACGTTGCGAGCATGGCACTGACACTCCTCGTTCTAATGCTGGGGCCGGCACGACCCATCACGCTCTAGTCAATAAACACATGCTGGCGAAGCCAGGGATCGCTCCACGCTTTTGGGAAAATGCAAAGTGATTTCACAGCGCACTGACATGTTCTCCGAGTGGACGGGAAGGTGTCAAGATCGGCGCAGGCAGCTTCAAGCTGCTCCAGAAAAAGCGTCGACCAGCTAACCATGCTACAACACTTAAAGCCCAAAGGGTTTGTGCCGCCCAACCACCCAAGCTAACTGTCTGAACAAGGTCAGCAACCTGCACAGCCACTCACCAAAAGAGGAGAAGCTGCGTTAAAGGGTGGTGGTGGGCGGGAGAAGCGAACGCTGCACCAGCGTGGCATGGGCACGGTCGATGTAGATCCGCGCCGTTGCGAGTCCTTCCAACGGCCTTGTAACATGGTTCGCTCCGTGCATTAGTGAAACTCCATTGCCCCGCCGCGACGTGAGTAGGGGAGGATGTCTTTGGAGCCTTGCTCGGGGTTGGCAAACTCACTGCGAAAAGTAGCTATGGAGGGCTGATGTAAACAGGAGCTCGGGCGCCAAGCAGAATAGAAAGAACCGCTACCAGTCCAGGCTCACGAAGAGAAAATGATTTTGTAGCCTTCACAAGGTTACTGAATTGATGATAGCTGATAGCGTTAATTTTGGTGCCATGTTCCAGGAAGAGGCGGACATGGGTGATCCTTAGCGACAGCAGCCCCATGATGCACAAGAAGAATGCAAAGCTCAAAAGGATCATGATTGAAGGATCGGGTTCCCTCACTTGCAAAGCGGCACTGGCCATTGCTTTGCTCAACGCAAATGCACTCTTTGCCAGTTCCTCAGGAAAACCTGAGCTGTGAGCAAGACCGCGGGTGCAACCGTTTTAAGCCGCTCAACGCGCAACCGGCATGTATTCAATCAATTCTTCGACGGCTCCCGCATCGTGTGTGGTAACCTGCCCCGGAAGGAGCAGTTAAGATCAATGCCGCCGCAGCCGTCTCTTTGCAAGATCCCCATGAACCTGCACTGAACATTTCTGGTCGCATTTCCTCTAGACTCGAGGCGCCATCGGAGTGGTTCCACTTGCTCATGGTTCACGGGGGATCAACCCAGACGTCAAAGAAATGCTGCCGATGCGGCGGTTTACCCTGTTCAGGCGCTTTGAGGAATTCCGTCACTTTCCGAGGACGTAAACGGACACCATGTCGACAATGCAGAAAAAAATCTTCCCAAGCTCATCTGCATTCCTTGCCCGCCTTCAGAATTCGATGAGGAAAGCAGTCATATCGAGCCCATTTATGTCATGGCCGTGCTCCACGTTGTCATCTCTTTGTCCGATAAGATCGCATTCTGTAATGTGAGCCTCGTCAAGTGTTCCTTCTCCTGCTTGGTGTCCATGGTACTGAGAAAGAACATGCACTGCGACACAGCCCCGTCAATGGCCGCTTCTTGCTGAAGGCCTTTCGTTTTTTCTTGAGGGCTGGGGCTTCATGAGCTCTTCCGGGCTGAAGGGGCGCGTCCCGAAGGGTTTTGTGCAGAGCGAGTTGATGCCAGCCATCACGAAGAACAGCTGCCAAGGGTTTTCCGAGTTCTCATCCTTGCTTTCATCATCAACTGGGGCCTCCCGATCAGGATGTCCATTCTGGCTTGTGGAGCACGTCATGTGGGAAGCCGGAGTTGTGCAGGATCCCCAACCATTCACCACACAAAAGCACCAACATGGTCAATTTTGTCATGATCTCATGGAAAGAATTCATCGCCAGAACGGAAACCCCAAAATTACAAAAAATCCGGCGTCCCCGCCAGGGTCGTCCGCCGTCCCCGCCATCGTGGCGGCCATTGATTGCTGTTTCTGGTTGAGCAGCAGCCCGAAAACACCTTCCAGTTCCAGCCTTCTTCGTAAAGAGATTTCACGTCTGACAGGTCCCACCGGTACGAGTCGTAGCCTTATTTGTCCTCCGAACAGAAACATTCTCATGTTGTCTGAATCGAGGAAGCCATCCGGGTGGTCGCGGCCACGAAGGCCCAGCGACCATAGCTGTTCCAGTAGCCATGGCCCCGGTCCTCTGAAAAGGTGATCCTTGTAGGAGACCAACCTTCTCATCATCCGTCCTGCAATCCCAAAGATCGCCTGGGATATCGTAGTGCAGTGGACCCTTCAAGCCAAACGCTTTCGACTTGAAAGCCGTAGCTTTCTCCAAGAATCGTTTGCGAAAATGGCGGTATGCCACCACCGGCGGCGGCTCGTCCATCTCCTGTTGGCACCAACCACAAAAGTTCGGGTCCTCGACCGGGTCTGGCAGGATCCCTGCAAGCTGTTGCAACATCCCCGGCTTCAGGACCCTCGGCGTCCAGGTACTGGGCGCGGTTCCACGAGCTGTTGCCCTGAATCTGCTCAAGTTTTTGACCACCCCCCCCTTTCCCCGAACTGGTGTTTCTGCCCGACGTGGCTGCTCTTCACCTCCTCCACATCTCGAGCTGGCTGGCCATACCATCCAGGATCCTTTGACGTGGCCGATGTTATTGGGTGCTTTTTCTTTGATTTCTTTTTCTTTTTGCCATTCAACTTGTGCGCCTCCTTCTTGAGCGCCTCGCGCCGGATTCTCCTCCCACGGCTCCCCCCTGTGTGTCCTTCCCCGTAAAAAGCACCAAAATATCCTTCCGGGAAGGATTCATCGCTCGCTGAGATGAACGTCACCTCCACATACCTCCACCACTGCCGACCTGTCTTTGTTCTTCTCGCTGAGGCGATCCAATCCCGCCAGAACCGTCCCTTGCCTGGTGTCGTTGCAGGCGATCTCCGCGTAGTTGGGGCCTGAAGGTTCGTTTGCTTCCAACCTTCAGCTCCAGCCATGGGCCAAGCATCCTGACTCGAGCTGGAAGGCTCGAGCCCAAATCTTTCAAGCATGCAGTAGCAGCGCGTGAATGCACGTGCTCTGCACGTGCGACACTACGCAATTCTCCGTTAGGCGCTAGGCGTAGTGGATGCATCGGCGCACTGGCAGGCCCGTTCTCCGACAACAAGAAGGCGGAGCGATTTGAGTCGAACAACTCGACGAATGCTGCACGACCAGTTGCCCTTGTTTGAAAAAACGTTTCACAAGAGTGAGCTCCGTGTAGAATGTGGCAGAATGCACAGGAGAACCGTACAACAGGAGACTTTCGCCTCGACGTCTGTCTGGTCATTGACTGCCAATATTCGGTCCTCATTGTCCACCGGTAGCTGTCGCTCCATGTGTCATGAGGCATGCAGGCGCACTCGGTGTCCTGTGCACGCACCTCCAGCTGCGGAACGCGTGCATTCCACTTCTGCAGCAGCCCATCAGGATATATCCTTTCACCAGGAAAAGCAAGTAACGGTCTGAAACCGTTGCTCATGTCCCATCGCCTCTTCACAACCAACATGTCCGGCCCAGGCAAGCGCGAGCGCTTGCCTGACCTGAGAGCATGCTGAAGGTTCTGCTGGGGTTTGAACTAAGTGAAGCTCAGTGTTTCGCTGCTACTGCAGGTCGGCCCAAGCGTCCGGCTCAAATGACTTGCCTTCCAAGCGGATTTCGAACTCCATCTTGCCATTAGCCTTAGGAACCGCGGGATCTAGAAGGTAGTTTTTCGTGCCATCATGAGCAGCCTGAGCAAACCCAAACTTGTCCTGCTCGCCTTCCTGATAACTGCAAGTGAACCACTTCTTAAACTGGAATGACAGCAACACTTTCGCAATGGCAACTGGTCCTTTTTGAGCAGGACTTGCCAGAACAAGCAACCATCCTCTTCTTCAATTCCAGCCTGCAAGGGAAGGGGGAATAATCTGCAGCTGAACAGCAACGCAGCGTGCTCCAAATGCTCTGGTGGCAGTACGAGCGGCCAGCTGCATGTTCAAGAAATAGCAGAGGAGCCAACAAATGGACTGTCCTGCGCTTCCTCTGCAAAGACTTGTTGCGAGGCGAACGAATCTGTCTCGGAAGTCCGCTCGGAGACATCTGCCTGCCGTACTCACGCAGCGTCCCGATCCCAGCCCACTGTTGGCAATCCCCGGTTGCGCCTCTCCTTCCAGCACAGATTCGCCTGATCTGGCCGTCTCCCGGAAGCCCTCCGGGAGACGATGCTCTTCGACAACTTCCAAACGTTATTTCATTTACCGCCTGGAGCTCGGGAAACATTGCCACAAACTCCTGCTCACACGGCAAGATCTCAAGTGCACTGACTCACCTGCTGGAACTGAGTCCTTGTAACCGGTGGAATGCACCGCCACACTGGTTAGACAGTCGCGACAGAGATCATAGTCGCATGGGCGGCAACCGTACAAAGTCGTGTTGCTTGGAAACTCGCCTCAGCAGATGCAAGTAGCAAAATTTCGCCACACTTGCGCGAAGCTCATCAGCCGGCGCAGGTTCACGGTAAATGGGCGCAAATTGCTCTCTGCACCACCCTCTATAGCACAACGACCGAAGTTCATGCCGTTTTGATATGTCCAGAAGTCACTAATTGATCACTCGTGAGTTCTTGTGACTTCGTGGGGACTGCTGTGCTGCACGAAGCAGGCTAGGGGGTGACTCCTGTTGTTACGGTCCCAGGCGTCCTAGGCGTGTTTACTGCTTCTTCGTGTACAAGCGGGATCCAAAGGGGAAGGCTTGGCCAACCCTTGAAATCGAAGATACTGTGTCAAGTAGTGTGAAGTGTACAGACCCAGGTAGTCGCCGTGTTCTCATCTGATAGCTTGGCTTTGTTTCATCGAGCAATCGCCGAAAACAGCTCGCCGGTTTCAGCCGGGAAGTCACGTCGGACGCTGCCTCTTGGCTCGAGGAATTGGGTCTACGCTTGTTTGGGTGGAGCGGTGTGGTTTTCGGCTTTTTAAAGTCTTCGCTGGTGCCGTCCACGCCCTTCGGTCACGGGCTGCTCGCACGTCGGCCGGAGGAATAGGTAAGTCCAAGAATGGAGGTCCTTCAAGCTCTGTTGGCTTGCATCTTGCTTGGAAAGCTGGAGAACATGGGCAAACAAAGCCGCTGGAGGCCCCTTCCGTAGAGTGGCATTGTCTGCATCTGTGTGTTACACGGAATACCAAACTCGACTGCCCCGCGTGCTGTCGCTACCGGCATAAACCCGTTCCTAAGGTTGACCGCTCTGTTTCTCGCGCTGGTCCGAGGGAGAGGTTCGCACACTTGCTTGAATACTGCTGAAACTGGAGCCTTCACCAGCAAACTATCTGTTGGAACCCTACCCAAACTAAACACTACAAACCGAGTAGTGAAGGTGGCTGCCGGGGATCTGGTGGGCGGCCGACACGGAACAGTCGGGCGTCGGGTTTCGTGCTGTTTCCAACCATCGGCGGCTCGTGCTGCATCAAACAGCCAAGTGGGGTTGTCACAGAAGGGTTTCGGCGCTCACACTCGAACGATCCAGGGCGAGGGCATTTGGGGCAAGCCTTGTGCTGTCCAAGGCCCGGGCAGTCGCACAAGGAACAAAGAAATCCATCTTCGGGAGTTTCGAAAGCCGCCAGCTCGTGCCCTGTTGGGCATTTCGAGCGAGGTGTCGGAGTTGGGGGTTCCTGCACACTGTACAACCTTGAATTTGGACTGGTCTTACGCATGACTCACCAGGCAACTGCCGCTAATTAGCTGGGCGATCAGCCTCCTGCTCCTCCGACTCTACCTGCTCTGCATCAAATTCGACCTGTTCGGCCTGCTGCACACACACACACAGAGCGCATCAGCAGGTCAGTAGCCCAGCCTTCGGTGCAGCCTGAACCTGCCGAAACCTGATCTTTGAGCTCATAGAGTAGGCTTCCATGCTTTGCTCAGCGTGCTTGTGACGTAAGTGCCATGCGACGTCTCCAGCTTCTGCTCTTTTCTTGCACGGAGCATGCGTGCGATTGACCTCGGTGCGTGCATGCGAAGGCATGTTGCTGCTTCACGGCACGGCTTCGCTCCGGTCAGGCTCAAAGCAGTCGCAGTTAATGAGTTAGTTACTGCTCGTTTTCTACGAAGCCTGAAAGCCTCGCAAACGGCTCGGGCATAGCAAACAATGATAACGTCTCGCACCGTCGTAGCAGATTGGAGGCGAAAGCGGACTTTGCAATCCAACAGCACTTGCGCTCATCTGGCTTGAAACGGCCCACGGACATGGGAGGAGGACGGCACGTCTGGCAGCGACTTGTTGTTGCAAACATGCGGGAACGACCGGATATCGGATACATGTTCTCGGGAGCTACATGCAAGATCATGCAATCGATCACAGCATGCCCGCCAAAGCCTCGTCCAGTTTAGGCAGAACATGGTATCGCACGTGAAAAGTTGCTTTGGCTGTCCCGAGTGAGGCCACTTGGAGTGACTCAAGATCGCGGACCACGACGCTGCAAAGCAATTCCCGCCCCCTGTGGCCATTTTGAGTTGAGGTGGCAGGACGCTGTTGGCTGGCCCCCTGACGGAGCGCAGAAGCAGTCCTCCCAGGGGTTCAACCTTCAAAGAAATCAAAACTAGATCATAACAACATCAAAAAAGAAACTGCAAAGTTTTAGCAGCTGTAAGCGAAAACGGCGTGAGCGGCGTGTACTACCGTACAGTCCGGGCGGCTCAGAAACTTGCACCTCCACGAGGTCTCATTTGTTCTTCAAATATTTAGCAGCCATCAATTCCTGTCATGCTCTCGCACTCGGACTCGTCAGATGAGGCTCAGGGTTCGCAGTGAAAGGACGGCTCTACGGTTCAGGAATTAAGGAATCAATAGCCGATGGCTCCTTCTGGCCGTTGTACGTAAGGCTTGGAGTTTCAGATTTCCTGATAATGAAGTTCCCGCACGTATCTCCTTTTAGGGCTTCAGGGTGTGCAGCCCATGTCCTGAGCTTTCCTACTCAACATGACGTTTTGGGCGATTCTGGCTGCAAGGTCTTGTCTTTAATGTTACGGTTGAGTGCAAGGACCGCAACTCGTCGAGTTTAACACACAATAAGAAGTCACAAGCCAATGCAGACAATCCAGCTTTGTGCCCCCGCACACGCACCGCCAACTCAGAGTCCCTTCCGACCAACATCAGACCAATTCCCACCGTAACTCCCCCACCCCCCGTAATCCTCTACCAGATTATAGCAAAACATCTCCGACCTGGCTTGCAACCACAGCCCCTCTCAATCCCGTGCCACAGAAACACGCCCCTCCAAAAGTGTGAACAAATCCCACACACAGCCCCGAGACTCGAGAGCTCACCCGTTCAGTACAATCATGTAACTCGCACCAACGAACCGAGAGGGGGGGAGGCACAAATGTGTTGGAAGCTTCATCGCTCAACCCAGTAATCAGCACCGAATCCCAAAAGGCACACCAAGGGGATTTCCGAACCGCTTGGCAAGCCTATGCCTTCGGCACACAGCTTCCTTCAGAAACTTTAGATCACGTAGCGTAAGCTTATGCCGAAGGCACGCCTGCAGAACGGAAATGCAGCCTGCACACGCCTTCTATGCTGAGGCTAGGAACTGGAGGCAAGTGTGATTAGCAAGAGCACTTGAAGCACAGTGTTTGTTTGACATGCCCCAAGTAAGGTTGCCGAAAGCTCGCAGCTCTCAGCGTTCAGCCTCACGGGCAAAATGCGGACCTTACGGCTTCAATGGCGCGGTGGTTTTTGAATGGTATTCATGAATGCTCCCGGGTATCTTTTGCGCAGGAACCACCCACGAGGAAACGCTTCAAGGTGTCCTGCTTCTGGATCTTGGTTAATCCATCTGCAACGTGATGATCGCTGTCAAATCCAGTGCTGCAATCAATTTGTGAGATATTGTGCCAACGCTTCGCGTGTGCAAAAAGGCTGCACCACGGAACACCGCCGCTGCAATTGGTCCGCTTGCACCCCCCCCTGCATTACCCCACAAGTCTGCAAATGCAGCTTCGACATCATTGACATCATGAGCCCAGGAGCCTGGCATATGCACAGCACACTTGAACGCCCGACTTGCCAGAGTGTGACCATCGTCCGTGACGTCCGTGCCATCAGTGGCACTCAACAGTCCAAACAAGATCAGTTCATCTTCAACCGACATGAGGGGGCCATGCTGCTGGAGCTCCCTGCGCAAACTGCAAACGGCGCCCAAGCTGCCGCGCTTTTTGATCCAGCAAACGGAGCGACGGCACATCCAAAACTTGCGAGCCATATAACAGGGCAGGGCACACACATGAGCGGAAAAGTGACTCCTCTCAATCCGGCGCTGGACATGCTTCCGCCACTCCCTGGAAGCTTGAAAGACCACATCCAAGTACTAGTAGCGATGCACACAAGACACAGGAGCACCCTGAAGGTGGAACCTAAAAGGCCGTCGTGCGTGAAACCACAACAAGAACAGCGGCTCTATCTGGGCGGGTTGAGGGTTCACGTTGCCATGTCAGCGGAATTCAAGACTCAACCTCCGAGCAAACAGCATCGGCACGATGCCACCGCCGAAGTAAACGCACGCAAACGAGTTCGAACGACCAGGGGGTACGGGAGTATATATTTCATACTTCGTATACTACGCCTTAGCTGGGACAGCCGTTGCGGTTCTGGTTTACCGAGGTTACACGGTTCACACCTATTTAGTGAAACAGCGCCTCTGCTGATAGTTCCCAAGACCCGATTGCGGCCATTGTCAAACAGAGTCATGGAGGTTGTTAACATCTGTGTTGTTCGTCCGTTTCCCCGCCTTGAACGCTGAAAGGTACCGCCTTCAATGTTTTTTTATCCCCGAAGGTCTGACTCCCACGGTTGACAGGAGATCCCATGGGTGCCCTGACCGCGTGAAACGCGAGCAACCCCATCGACCAAGTCCAAGGCGGCCAAGAAGCACACCTTGGACGAGGAGGCCAGGACCCTCGCCCCGCGCCAAGTGTGGCAAACCGGCAAACCAGTATGGGCTTTGGGCGGGATGCGAAACTTGCAAGCTTCGCCTCGCGTACACTCCGAGATGATTGGTTGCCACGGAATCCATCGAAATAGCGCCCGCTGGCCAACGATGTGTCCATCCAACCTGGACAACTCGCTGACGACCACGGAAAACTCAGCTCTTCAACGCCTCGAGCATCTTCGCCGACTTCAACTTCGCCAAGAAGCAGGCAAACAGGGAACCACGGCGGAGGGCCGCGAAGATAGAAAGTTGACCACCGTGGACCATTGAAGACCAGAGATCAAAAAAGGAGAAGTGGGCCAGAGCTTCATGGTTCAGCCAGTCGAGGACACGTGTGAGGTAGAGCAGGAAGGCGCACGTGCTGAGGATCTTTCTGAGCCCTCTGTAAATAACCAAAAAACCATGGTGAAGCCTCCCTTTGGATCCTTCACGGAGGAAGCTCGGCCTTGATAAAGACCTTCGGCTGCATGGACTCAATCAAATGCCCCATGGACTCATAGGAGAAATCATTGCGGTCTCACAGGTGCCCCGCGAAAACTCCGTGCGTGCTGAGATGGCAACTTTTCGGGATCCACCACGATCGTTTCTGGAGACGACGGACCGGAGACTGTCGACGACTGGCCTGTTTGGGTCCACGGGGGTCTTGCTGAATTGATGCGCGCGGAAGAAAACTCGGTTGGAACGTCTTTGCATCCAGGCGGTGTCCCTGCTGCAACCAGTCATCCTTCAAATTCACTAGAAGGTGCCCTGACTTGCTGTGCTTCAACTGCGGCAGAGACAGATCGACAATGGGCAATGTCCACAACAGCATGTATGCGCATGAACACCAAGCACATCAAGGGTGTAGACGCCAAGCTCCACTTGATGATGTTGTGGAAGTAGAAGGAATGGTGAAGACACAAAAATCTCTCCATTCCCAAACTTGAACTGTTTCGGTGGATGATCAAGAACTTGAAAGGCCTGAGAGGCATACACTGACTGACTGCTCTCACGGACCTCAGCGCCTCCAAGACAGGACGCGATGCTACCGTCTCAGTAGCTCCGGAACTCAAGACTGCATAGCCGGAGAGATCCTCCACCGAGGAAAAAATCTCCTCCGAGGGGTTGTCCTCCTCGATGGTGAACGCCGTGCGCTCCTTCTCCCAACAACGGCACAGCCAGCACCGGAGGTACCGAAGGCAAAGCAGAGGAACCATAGCCTTTTGCCCTCTGCTTTGCTCTTGCCTTTTCCTTTCTTGAACTTGAACGCACCACCCTCGGAGGACACGGGGAGTAGGGGTAGAATCCTCGAGACAGATGAAGAGCCTTTGCTGCCTGGTGTGCTTCGAGGAAGCCCCTCGCCTTCTGGTTCTTCTGGTTGACCAAAGCATAGGCTTCCTCCGGTTCCTTTTGTTGTCAGGAGGAAGATCATCGTACTGACCGTCGTAGGTCCAATCATCCGGGTATTCAGAAGGAGGGTCTGGATGAACTTGCGCGGGAAGCTTCTCGCCGACTAAGTGGATGTCACCCCTTTTTGTGACTGGCTGTGTCCTAGCAACTCGTAGCAGTCGGTGAGAGAAGCTTCAAAGTCATCTAGCATAAACCAGCAAGACTTGAAGAAGCACGATCCCGGACCCGCTCCGTAAAGCAGTGGTCCGGAGTCGGCAACACAAAAACTCGGGAGCCTAGGGACCTAGAGAGTGTGATAGTAGGCCGTAGGCATCACCTCTTCGAGTGAACACGCCCTTCTTTTCAAAGCCGGTGACTGAGCTGTTGTTACAGTCAACCGTAGACCAACCGGTATATACCGTCCCCGACCCCTAACAGCTCCGACACTCTGTGTGCACACCGCAACTGGCGTGACATACAGCGGAGACACAGGTGCCCATAGGAGAGCCCCGACAGCAGCCTCCTGTGTCCAGCGAGTACTGCACACCTGTGTTTGCTAGCGAGAGGTAAGCTGTATCAGACCCTGGTGCTCTCGCCAAATCAGAGAAGCATTTCTGGAAAGATGTCGCA